CTATATTGCAGTTCCAAATTGCATCATATGACATTAGTGTGTGTATATCCACACTAAGGACATCTTCATTAGGAGGACAGAGCCCAACCTCTAGGAGAGCTCCTTTTAAAGTTCAGACTGAACACCGAACCCAATGAAAGAAAAAGAGGTACCGGTGTTTTTATTGCAACCAAACCGCTGCCTGGAAAAGAACATTTGAGCTCCCCTCTCATCCTTTGGAGAGGGCTCCCTTCCCTTTCCCACAAAAGGTGCCTTGTTCCTTTTATTTGACAAATGCAGATAGAGAACAATGGAAATGCAGATCCGCCAGCTTTGGCCTTTCCAGGGACCAGGGGATAAATCGACGGCCATCTCTCCGCCCTGGATCCCTTGATAATATTTTCCAGCCTGTTTTACATTTTTGGACAAGAAAGGGTCTGTCCCCTTTAATCTGCCTTTCGGGGGGAGTTTTGCCTGTCACGCCTCCGCCTTTTGAAAAAGGGAGCAGCCGCCTCCGGACCTCATTGAAAATGCCTTTATGGAGGCTGACCGTGTGAATTGAGGGATGGAGAGGCAGAAGTTAATCTGCGTTGGTGTTGTTGTTTTTTAAAAAAAAGAAGACTGAGGTTAGAAAATTTGCGACAAATAAAATGAGATTCATAAGCAAGAGTCGAGGCCACAAAAATCAAATGCAACTATTATTATTATTATTATTATTATTATTAATGTATCCACTGCTTATCCACTGTTCTTTGTTGGCTTTAGAGATGGAGGACCGAATGCTTTGCGCTGCCTGAAGAGTTTGCTTTTTAAATACAAGGGTTGAATGAAAAGTAATGCTTCCACCTTCGTAACTCCTCAACAGATGGCAGTACTGGTATGCGGCAGGTACTGGCTTATTCAGTAGACTCTCCTCTACAGTTCCATTTTAGCAGGAAGCCTTAGGATTGAACGGTTGTGCAAAGTATGGAACCCTGTGCAGACGGTCAATCAATGTGACTTAAGCAACATGCAGTCATTGAATTCTTGACAGCAGAAGGTGTCACCCCAAAGGAGATTCATCAGAGAATGCAAGCTGTTTATGCTGATTGTGTTGATGTGAAAGAAGATCTGCGGGGACATCATTATGCTTCTGATGAAGATGTTGAGAGAACTGTGAGATGCTGGTTGTGGAAACAGAGTGTCAACTTCTTCCGTGACGGTTTCAGAAAACTTGTTCATTGTTGGCAGAAATGTATCCAATTGTCTGGTGATTATGTAGAAAAGTGAATAGTGGTAGTTAAAGAGCACATTCTAAGGATTATTTCTGCATTTGATTTATTAAAATATCCTTATCCAAACCCAAGTAACGAAGGTGGAGGCATTACTTTTCATTCAACCCTCGTAGGTCTTCATTGCGGCCCCTCAATAGTCTTCTAACAAGGCAGCTGTATCAGGAGTAATACTCTAGAGGTAGTGTGTTCTGCAGACTCTCGGTATAGAAGCCCCTGAGCAGGTTTTTACTATTTCGATAAAGCACTCTTGTTCCTCAGGGACTGGGGCAACCAATATGATCTTGTCTTCTAACATATCTGAGAATTTAGTCTAATCTGCCTTTCAGAAGTTGAATTTCTGTAAATTGAACTTCCTGAGGTCTTAAAGTTGGAAAGAATTGGCATACTATCAGCCGATGCTGTGCGTTTGGTATTGGTCATCCCACCAATTTAGACCATTGCTGCACAATGCTGTCACTTACAAATAGGAGGTCGAGGTGAAAAAGATCTTGGAGTCCTTGTGGACAACAAGTTAATGTGAGCCAACAATGTGATGCGGCAGCAAAAAAAGCCAACGGGATTTTGGCCTGCATCAATAGGAGTATAGCATCTAGATTCAGGGAAGTTCATTCTACCACTCTATTCTGTCTTGGATAGAAAACATCTGGAATATTGTGTCCAATTCTGGGCACCACAATTGAAGGGAGATGTTGACAAGCTGGGATGTGTCCAGAGGAGGGAGACTAAAATGGTCAAGGGTCTGGAGAGCAAACCCTATGAGGAGTGGCTTAAAGAGCTGGGCATGTTTAGCCTGAAGAAGAGAAGGCTGAGAGGAGACATGATACCCATGTATAAATATGTGAGAGGAAGCCACAGGGAGGAGGGAGCAAGCTTGTTTTCTGCTGCCCTGGAGACTAGGATGTGGAACAGTGACTTCAAACTTCAATCTGAACATTAGGAAGAACTTCCTAACTGTGAGAGCTGTTCAGCAGTGGAACACTCTGCCCCAGAGTGTGGTGGAGGCTCCTTCTTTGGAAGCTTTTAAACAGAGGCTGGATGGCCATCTGTCGGGGATGCTTTGAATGCGACTTTCCTGCTTCTTGGCAGGGGGTTGGACTGGATGGCCCATGAGGTCTCTTCCCACGTTAAAATCAATACATAGGATGGGGGGAGCTTACTATCATGAATAAGCAATAGTTTGTGCAATTCAGCCCTGGAAAGGACAGACTCTCAATTTTTATCCTCCTGAGCATCACCCCATACATTGCTATGGCTGTTAAAGGCACCAATTATTGCCATCCTTTGGTGCCTGTCCAAGTTCTCAGAAGAGGAGAAACAAAACTCTTTATTTAGGGTCTTGTACATAGAAGTAATGGTTATGTTACTAAGCTGTACTGTTATAACCTCTATATTGTTTTCGTCAGTGTTATGGGCACACTGTGTGTGTCTGTGTGTGTGTGTGTGATGCTGCTGCAAAAGAAAGTGAACACAGTTGTGGTTTTGCAAGACTTTTGGCAAAAATTCCGAAAGGCCTTGCAAACCCAATGAGTCATTGAATCATTCCCAACTAGAAGAGACCCCACCAACATACTAGATGCGGCTGTTCAAATGTGGTCAAACTGCAGTATAGATGCACCCAGTGATGGCATTAATTCGGCTGCCAAGACAATTCACTTCCTATGTATAAAGCAGGTGCCGTCTTGCCCAGGAAAACATCCAGGACCAGATGAATCCATTGACATTATTCCGTTTGGATTGAAATGTCCAGTCTTTCCTCAATTCCACCATCGTTTTGCTGTTGTGGATCAATTGTCCCCTCGAGGGGTGGCTGGTCGAAGACACCATTTGATCTCAGTGGGCGCCTCGGGAAGAAGGGAGCGAGAGAGAAGGGCGGCGGAGGTCTGTTGCTCTCCTTCCGTGGCACCTGCTCCTAGAAAGAGTCATTAGAGGTTATTATAGGCAGAACTGTGCGCCACGTTGGCCCTAATGAAGGCCCCTGATGCGTAATCGATCCTGACTCATAATGAAACCCAGGGTCGCCAACCTCTCCCAAATATGACTCGCCGATTGAGAAGAGAAATGAGGTTGTTTCCTATCTCAGTTCCCTACAGCCAACCCATCTTCCTCTAGGGTCCCTCTCAAAATGGCTATGGAAATGTTATTTCATATCATGGGATGAGCTATTTCATGGTACTGCACAACTATCATAAAGCTATTTCTTGGTATTGCACATCTGTTGTATAGCTGTTTGACTGTTAGGTATTGAAAAGCTATTTCACTTTGATCAGGGACCCAAATTCCTCTCCATTGCTGTTGTTGTTGTTATGTTTATTTATGCCCCGCTTTTTCTCTCTACAAGGAGACTCAAAGCTATTTATATTAAAAACATTTTGGTACAATTTAAAATCTACAAATATATAAACATTAGAATTAAATATCATAGGTATTTAAAAAAAGTTAAAATCAATACATACACTATATACATATTCAAACTAAACCCCACAGCGACCCCTGACTTCATCTGAAAAATCTTTCCATGGATGACTTCCTCTTCATAGCAAGCCCATTTTCCACTAAAATCCCTCTCAAAATGGCAATTGAAATGTTATTTCACATCCTGGGATAAGTCTTTTTATAGTACTTCACGACTCTCACAAAGTTATTGCGTGGTATTGTAATTGTGTTGTATAGCTATTTCACCATTGGCTATTGAAATGCTATTTGACAGCTGTTATATAACTTTGCAAAGATCGAAGGCAGCTATTTTATTTTATTATTTATTATTTGCTTTATTTCTATACCGCATTTTTCAGCCCGATTAGGCGACTCAATGCGGTTTCACAACTATTAGACAGATGTTGTATTGCTAAGCTATTGAATGGTATGGTACAGATATTGGATGGCACTGTGCATCTATTTTATAGCTATTGCTCAACTGTTTTACAACTATTTATCAGCTATAGTACAACTATTCGACAGATAATTGTATACGTATTGCATGGTATGGCTATTTATTCCGTAACAAAAGCATTGCATAATAAATACATTTAAAACTGATAAAATAAAGAGATCACGAGCAGCTAAATAGTTTTAGACCCAAAACAGGCAACAGCGACTGCATTGTCTGTAGCTTTAATCTTTCTCTGTGCATGGGGCAGGGCATGGTGGGCAGGCATACAGATGCTGAGTTGTTTGTTCTGCTCCACCGTTGCCCAAGGTGGAGGATTCTTCTAGGTAGTGCCATTTTGCCAGGTTGCCTTTGATCCACTCCTGAGTCTGTTTGGGGACTTCCAAGTTGTCCATTCTTGGTTTGCCCCTGGAGGAAGACCCTCGTGGGGGGCATTCAGTTGGGATTTGCTGGTTTAGCTACCCAGAGGGATACTCCTGCTGTTGCTGGAGGAACATTAAGAGGAGTGGTGGTTCTCATGAAACTTTCCCTTGATTTGAGTTTTTAAACTTTCAGTATGCAGACAACAACAAAGTTTTTGCAGTTTAATAAACCTTTTCCATGTTTTCATGATAGAACCAATTAGGAAATGATATTTGTAACCCAGGAACAAAAACCATGTTACATAGTGTTGTTGTTGTTGTTGTTGTCATTATTATTTGTGCTATTATTATTATTACTATTACTATTATCACTATTAGTATTACTGTTGTTATTGCTATTATTATTATTACTACGACTACTATTATCATTATTATTACTACTATTATTTTTCAATGTGGGGTAAGCGTCTCACCGGTGCCCTTTCTGCCCCTTTGCAGAAACCTGATGCCCAGAACCTCGGAGGGCCAGATCACCATGGAGAAGACCCCCAGCTACTTTGTGACCAAGGAGGCCCCTCGGCGCATCTACAGCATGTCCAGGGACACCAAGCTGATTGTGGTGGTGCGCAACCCTGTCACACGGGCCATCTCGGACTACACGCAGACGCTGTCCAAGAGCCCGGGCCTGCCCAGCTTCCAGGCGCTGGCCTTCAAGAACCTTAGCACGGGCCTCATTGATACCTCCTGGAGTGCCCTACGCATTGGGATCTATGCCAAGCACCTGGAGCACTGGTTGCGCTACTTTCCCGTCTCCAGCTTCCTATTCGTCAGCGGTGAGCGGCTAGTCAGTGACCCGGCTGGGGAAGTGGGGCGCGTCCAAGACTTCCTTGGCCTCCGGCGCCTGGTGACAGACAAGCACTTCTACTTCAACCAGACCAAGGGCTTCCCCTGCTTGAAGAAGCCTGAAGGCGGCAGCGGCAGGCCCCGGTGCCTAGGGAAATCCAAGGGGCGGCCACACCCCAAGATTGACCCCCAAGTCGTCCAGCGCCTCCAGGACTTCTATAGACCTTTCAACCTGAAGTTCTATCAAATGACAGGGCAGGATTTTGGGTGGGATTGAAGGACCCCTTCTCTGGAGGTATCCAGTCAGAGGCTGGGTGGCCATCTGTAGGGAGGGCTTGGATTGTGTCTTCCCTTCTGGCAAAAAAGGGTGGCCCTTATGGTTTCCAAGCACAGACTGAATGGCCATCTCTCAGGTTGGCTTAGATTGTGCCTTCCTGCCTGGCCAGAAGGAGGTTGGATTGGATGGCCCCTGGAGTTTCCAAGCAGAGGCTAGATGGCCATCTGTGGGGAGGTCTTGAATTGTGTCCTCCTGCCTGGCAAGAAAGGGGTTCCAGCTCTACAATTCAATGAAAGGCAGCTACCCCTCTAGTTTTCTGTGCAGTCCATGGAGACAAGGCACTTTGGGGCTCCATCCCCTCTTGCTGTTGGCTGGAGAAGTTCATAAAGGAATTCTATGACTCTTTGCACATTGGAAAGGCTTTGAGGGGAAGTGGGCCGAGTGCCCCATTGTGCAGGCCCCAAACCAGACCCGGCGCCCCAAAATCCATCATGTGCTGGAGGGCCCACAGTCCAAGGAAAATGGCTCCTGGGTCTAGAATGAACCCCCTCCTCTTCCTTCTAATTTATATCTCTGGCCAGGAGGGGAGAAATGTACTCTTTGCGGAGGAGAAAGGGAAAATATTTAAGTTGTCCTTTTTTAAAAAACACAAAAGTGGGTGCAAACCAACTAGGGGGAGCCCAGATACAAATAAACCTGGCAAATATTGAGTATCCAATGTGTTTGCGTATGTGTTTGAATGTAAAAGGCGGAGGAGGCATTGATGGATGCAATTCAGTGGGTTCTTTTGCAGATACTGAGAGTTTGGGGAAATTGCCTTTTTTTTTTTTTTGGATTGTTAAGTCCTAAAATTGCCCAGCCAACAAAGCCTTGGGTCCTGATGGCTCCAGGGTTCTGCATGGTTTGGGGAATTGTAGTCCAAAAAACTATTTTTCCCAAGCTCTCCATATTCCCATTGTCTGAGACCTGACAGTCACGAGACTAAGAAAGAAGGTAAGCTTCACTTAAACTGAACCCAAAGGGAAGAATTCACTGGGTAAAGTCAACAAAACTGAATACATAATGCTTCAACTTTCAAAGACACAAAAATGGAAAAAAATGCTATATTCTCCCCAAAAAGCATGAGAACATATCTTTCCAGGAAGCCCATATGGTCAACTTTTGCCAAACTTGACCACAAAATCACACAGGAAGACCTACAAATACATAGGAATCTTTAGGTCCACCAGCATGACTTTATAATCAACGTCCAACAGAAGTTGACCATTGATAATAATTAATAAGTGATTAATAAAGCAAGTGAGTTGAAAATCCACTCCAGGGCATAGCCTCAAAGGTGCCATCCAAGGTGCTGAACTCAGTGGGGAATTTCAGGCTCAACTTCTGCAATACCTTCTTTAAAGTTTGGGCTATTAATTTATTTATTTACAGTATTTATATTCCAATCTTCTCACCCTGAAGGGGACTCAGAGCGGATCACAGAACATACATATGCAGCAAACATTCAATGCTGTTTTATACACAAACAAGACAGATAATTATACATAGATAGAGGTATATTGGTTTTCCCATCTTCGGCATCTTGGAGGTTTTGTGGTACTGACCACAAAGGGGTGCTGTTATTCCATCTCCGTGTTGAAGAGCTTTGTTCATAACTTCCTCCTTTTGATCAAATCACCGGCATTACTTCTGGGTGCCTCAGAATACCTTCCCGCTTTTAAGCAGTACCTATTTATCTACTCACATTTGCTTTCAAATCACTAGGTAAGCAGAAGCTGAGCTAAAAGCCAGGAGCTCAACCTGACCCAGGCTTCAAACTGGCAGCTTTTTGACTGACAAGATTTACTTCTTTTTTCATGTCAGGAGCAACTTGAGAAACTGCAAGTCGCTTCTGGTGTGAGAGAATTGGCCATTAGTATTTGGATGGGATACCAGCAATGACTGTCAGGGGACTGTAAGTTACATGTCAGAAGAAGGAACTGCCAAAACCACCTCTAAGTCTTCCTTGACTAAGAACACCCAATGAAAATGTGTCATGTTCCTATAAGTCAACAGGTTTTTCTTCTTTTTCTGGAGTGACTTGAGAAACTGCAAGTCACTTCTGGTGTGAGAGAATTGGCCATCTGCAAGAGTGTTGCCCAGAGGATGCCCGGATGTTTTGATGTTTTTACCATCCTTGTGGGAGGATTTTCTCATGTCCCTGCTTGGGGAAGCTGAAGCTGACAGAGGGAGCTCAATCCGTTGTCCCCGGATTCGAAACTCCGACTTGTCAGCCTTCAGTCTTGCCGGAACAAGGGTTTAACCCATTGCGCCACTGGGCATTGGGATTTACTGCAGCTGACGGTTTAACCTGCTGTGCTAAAGCCCAGCTCAGTGCAAAACCCAATGCAAATTTACCACCTCATTGAGCCAAAATCAATCACTGGAAGAAGCTGTTTGCATGGCACACGGTTTACACATTGGAGCCCCATTGTGTTTTGCATCACAATTGAATACAGATAGTTTAAAGAGATAGTTGATATTTATTTCATGCTGAGTTGCCTTGCAAGTCTATAGCAGCAGAGGGCAAAATCTGGCCAGCATTTGCCACATTTTGGGCCTGCATTTGCCCCTTACATGGGCCATTTTAGCTCTATGAAAGGTATTTTTGAAACAATAGATAAACCGGGAGCAACTTGGGAATGTCTTTTCAAATGAAGCCTCTTTCTTGGCCTTAAAAGGTGGTGAAAACAATTCTCAACAGCCCTGAATGGGAGACAACGCACGGCTTGTTTGGGGTGAGAGTCTAAAGTCTCTAAAGGGGTTAATGCAATCCCCAGTTTCCCAAACCTGCCCACCCATAAACATGCAGACAATAAAACCCTGTGACAAGACATTTGGGAAACAAATGAGGCAAAGGAACTGATTTGGCGGATGGAAAACCTAATGTCGGCAGATATGTATTTATGGGCCCTTGCAGAGTTTCTGCCAGACCTCCTCACAGCTAATAAAAGGGAAATAATCAAAACCCGCTCTCAAAACGGCTCCAACTGTTTACAATTTTTAAAATTCAGGCACTTTCCCATGTCCGTGGTGCAAAGTCTTTATCTATCTCATCCTTGTGGAGGAGACCAAGGGATCCCGAAGAGAGGTTAAGATTGTTTTAAGTTCCTTCAAGAGCCTTATCCGCTCTTTGTTCTTTGGGCCTCTCCGTGGGGTGCTTGTTTTGTCCAGGTGATGGTTAAGGGCTCTCCAGCCTCCTCCAAAACCAGGATTCATTCAAGGCTTCTTCAGATGCCTTGTTTACCAGAAGAAATTTTAAACAAGCAAAGAATGCAATGACATGGATCAAATGGCTCTCAAGCCTCTCCAAGATTTGCACAAAGACATGCAGTCGGTGCAATACCTTCCTGAATGACTGACTTCTGAGATCAGAGGAAACAATTATAGAAAGGAACAGAAGGGAATCTAGGTTAAATTCCTTTCCATGGAGGCTGAGACAAGGACACAATGGAGCCATGGGTTCAAATGGCTGGAAAAAGGTTCCACGTAAACATTAGGAAGAATTTCCTAAACAAATGTAGGACCCCTTCAACAGTGGAATCTGCTGCTGCCTTGGAGTTGGGTGGTGTCTCCTTCTCTTTAAACAGAGGCTGGATGGCCATCTGTCAGGAGGACTTTGATTGTGTAATCTTGCATGGCAGAAGAGAGCTGGCCTGGACAGTCCTTGTAGTCATTTCCCTATCTAGCTAAATATAGCCTCACTGGGATCCTGGTAGGGTCTCCTTCTCTGGAGATTTTGAAACAGAAGTTGGATGGCCATCTATCAAGAGGGCTTCAATGGTGTCAAAAAAGGTTGGGCTGAATGGCCTTTTGGGAATCCCTTCCAACTAGTGAGCTGTAGCCTCTTGAAATCCTGGTAGTGTTTCATTCCTTGGAGGTCTTTAAACAGAGGCTGGATGGCCATCTGTTGGGAGGGGTTGGATGGTGTCTTCCTGAGTGGCAGAAGAGGGTTGGACTGGATAGCCTTTGGGGACTCCTTCAACTGTAGTGAGATATAGATTGCCTTGGAGTCCAGTGGAGTCCCTTCTGGAGCATATGAAGTGAAATCTAGGTGGCTGTCTGTTGGGAGGGCTTGGATGGTGTCTTCCTACCTGGAAAATTAGACAGGACTGCATGACCATAGGGGATCCCTTTGAACTAAATTATGTGCCAAAATAAAATCCAGTCCTCTTTAAAGGTGCTGCTGGATTATTTTCCCCTTCTGTACTGTTTTCTCAGTTATGATGCTACAAGGGACTAACAAAGTGTTTCTCAACTTGGGGTTTGGGACCCCGGGGGGGGGGGGGGTCACAAGGGAGTGACAGAGGGGTTGCCAAAGACCATCAGAAAACACAGTATTTTCTGTTGCTCATGGGGGTTCTGTGTGGGAAGTTTGGCCCAATTCTATCGTTGGTGGGGTTCAGAATGCTATTTGATTGTAGGTTAACTATAAATCCCTTCAACTACAACTCCCAAATGTCAAGGTCTATTGCCCTAAACTCCATCAGTGTTCACATTTGAGAATCTTGAGTATCCGTGCCAAGTTTGGTCCAGATCCATCATTGTTTGAGTCCACAGGGCTCTCTGAATGTAGGTGAACTACAACTCCATAACTCAAGGTCAATACCCACCAAACCTTTCCAGTATTTTCAATTGGTTATGGGAGTTCTGTGTGCCTAGTTTGGTTCAATTCCATCATTGGTGGGATTCAGAATGGTCTTTGATTGTAGGTTAACTATAAATCCCAGCAACTACAACTCCCAAATGACAAAATCAATCAACACCAATATTCAAATTTGGGCATATTGGGTATTTATGCCGAATTTGGTCCAGTGAATGAAAATACATCCTGTATATCAGATATTTACATTACGGTTCATAACAGTAGCAAAATGACAGTTATGAAGTAGCAACGAAAATAATTTCATGGTTGGGGGTCACTACAACATGAGGAACTGTATTAAGGGGTCGCAGCATTAGGAAAGTTGAGAACCACTGGACTAACAGGACTTCTTTGAAAGCCCTGAGACTGGTCACCTGTCCTAGGAGAAGGCCCATTCACTCTCTGGGTTTGCATGCTCTTGGAGAGAGTTCTGGACTGGTGGAATGGCCAATTTTTGCAGAGGAACACCCACCAGTTTGGGTCAGTGGTTGGGAATGCTGGCTGTCCTTACAAAACCAGTGAGTTGAGACCCTTTGGGGCCAGCCCAGATGGAAATGGGCCACCAAATGGGAGCCAGGGTTGGGTGTCAGCGCCAAGCTGGGGAAGAGATTTGGAGAGGGGGGCGGCTCAGTTGTCACTTTGGCCGGCTTCCCCCCACATGATAGACTGTGCCCTGCTTGTTTAGGTTTTGTTTCCATCCGTGTGACATTCGACCAAATTATTCTCTGCCGAGGGGCTTTGAAAGGTTCCCAAGGGCCCCTGAATGGCGGCCAGTTCCGATGCGACCCTCTTTCTCAGCTGAGTGCTTTCATTCACCATTGATATGCAAAGCGGCCAGGTCTGAAAGCTGGTTTCTGTCCCCTCTTTATGGAGGCAAAAAAAAGGGGAGTGGGGATAGGGAAGGTCTTCCCCTCCTTCTCTCACCATCCTCCTTTTTTATTTATTTTTTGCAATGAAAGCCCTGGCCCTTTAAAGGGGACACAATGACATATAGAGTGGGGACCCCCTAAAAGGCATTGAAAAG